GGGGGGGGTCGGGCTCTGCTCCCAGGGAACAAGGGACAGGAGGAGAGGGAACGGCCTCAGGCTGTGCCAGGGGAGGCTCAGGTTGGACACCAGGAGGAATTTCCTCATGGAAAGGGTGGTCAGGCCTTGGCAGGGGCTGCCCAGGGAGGTTTGGAGTCCCCAGCCCTGGAGGTTGTCCAAGGAAGGGCTGGATGTGGCACTGAGTGCTCTGGGCTGGGGGACAAGGTGGGCATCGGGCACAGGTTGAAGTCCATGGACTGGGAGGGCTTTTCCAACCTCAGGGATTCTGGGAAATCAAGACTTTGCCTCGTTGAGTGGATGTTGGGTACCTGTAAATATGTGAGTGAACTGGCACCTTCCTCCTTCCAGTGCTGGCTCTGGGCATCCCAGGAAGGTCTGGGCCAGCACGAGGGAGCTGAGCCCTGAGCCCTGCACGTGCTCCTGCCCTTCGTGATGTGCTTCAGCGACAGCCCCAGATGAAAAAAAAAGCCAAAAAAACACCCCCAAAACGTAACTGACCAAAATTTTAGGGTGATTTTACGAGACCAGTGAAGCTCTTGGGAATTGTCTCCCGCAGAAAACCCCCGGGAGTCGTGCTTCGACCCGGGCTCCATCAGGAACGGCACCCGCGTGGGCTCGGACCTCAAGCTGGGATCCACCATCACCTACTACTGTGACGGGGGGTACGACATCCAGGGGGTCTCCACCCTCACCTGCATCATGGGAGGGGATGGAAAACCCACCTGGAACAAACCCCGCCCCACCTGCACAGGTAATTCCCGGGAGAGGGAACAACCTTTCACTGTCGCAGTCACCAACCTGGTGTTGCTTTTTGCAGAGAGAGGGGGATTCTCAGCCTTTTGAAATTTTTTCAGGCTTTTTAACACCCCCCCCCCGGTGTTAAAATCAGGGAGAGCTGATTTATATGAGTTTATAAGAGGTTTCTTGAACCTTCTTGGGGGTGAGAGGGAACTGGCCACGGAGATCCTGTGCCCCTGGTGCAGGGCAGGACTCAGGAAGCCACTTAAATGTTTGCTAAACCTGAGCCTTGCTAATCAAAACCCTTTCCTGAGCAGGGTCAGAGTTTAGGGAGAAAACAAGATAAGTTATTTTCTTAAGGGTTCTGTGGTTCTTCTGTTTTGTTTTCTGACTTAATGGTTTAAATGATGGGTTTGCAGAGTTTAATGTGAGAAGGGAATCCAGAGGTAGCTGTCAGTCTGTGCTGAGGGGGAAGAAGGAAATCCCTGATTTTGGAAAGGGAGGGTGAAAAAAAGCAGGGACTCATCCTGCCAGGCCCTGAGCTGTGAGCCAGGTGGGGAGCAGTTATCCCACGTTATCCTGCACCACACCCATCCCTTCCCCAGCACGGCTGGATAATGACATGTGAAGCCGGGATGATTTCAGGGCCTGGTTTTCCTTAATGGGAACTCCCAGGGATCACCTGGAGCAGGGGGTGGATCGTGGCTGGGGGCACTGGCAGGGCCCAGCACGTTGGGAGCAGGTGTTGCAGGCTCTGGGAATGACCCCTTGTTGCCTGTCCCTTGCAGCTCCCTGTGGGGGTCAGTACACGGGCTCCGACGGCGTCGTCCTGTCTCCGAATTACCCCCAAAACTACACCACTGGCCAGGCCTGCTTGTACTTCATCGTGGTGCCCAAGGACTATGGTATTGTATCCAAGTGTTTTTGGAACTCTGTCCTGCTCTGCAGCTCCTGCTTGCTTTGTTTGACTGGAACAAAGCAGTGAAATAAGTGCATCTGGAAACGGGGATAAGGGAGGCTGGAAAACAAGTGGTGCTGTTGGATGCTGTTTGTTGTGGGTGGGTTTGTGGATGTGACTTAAGGGTCATTTTTTATTTCTAAGTAACATGGAAAAAGCATGGAATGGTTTGGGTTGGAAGGGACCCTAAAGATCCTCTCATTCCAACCCATTGCCATGGGCAGGGGCATGTAAATTAAATTCTAAAACTGGGTACAAACCAAAGCCAGATCCATTTATAAGGATCACTGTTCTTTTTCTAGGCTTTGGTGCTGCTTAGGTTGGGTCAGAGCTTGAATACAAGAGTTAAGAATGTTCTAGAAGCTGCTGGGGGTTGGTAGTGGTTGATTTTCCTGTTTGAAGGGAATTTGAAGTCCTTAAAGAGCTCTGGCAGGTGAGGGGCTCTGAGTGCTGTTCTTTGGTGCTGCTCTCAGAGCATTGTATTGATCCCCTCAGTCCCCACGGCCCTTCCAGCTGCTTGGGATTCCCTGTGCCAGGATGGCAGAGTGGGAAATAAGGATTCTGTGTCCAGAACTCAGTTAGAAACACTCAGACTCCCTGGAAGTGTCTAAGGCCAGGTTGGAGCAGCCTGGTCCAGTGGAAGGTGTCCCTGCCCATGGAACAAGATGGGTTTTAAGGTCCCTCCCAACCCAAACCAGCCTGGGATTCCATGAATTCCTGTGTGCATCCAGGATCCATCTGAGTTCCTGATGAAGTACCAACACTGCTCTTACAGCTCTTGGATCTCTTTTACTTGAGCTGGTCTTGGTGTTGTCCTAAAAACAAGAGTAACAAGAGGAGCCAGACAGTCTGATCCCAGGATGGGATGACAGGGAAATTAGTTCCCCTTCTCCCCCTGCTCCCTTTCAATATCGTCATTAAAAACAAGCAGGAAAACCATTAGCAGGGGATGTTCTGCATTTCCCAGCCCTGCCCTGCTCAGGTTCTGTGCAACAGGACTCAGGGAGGGGGTGTGTTTGTGCTACTGTCACTTTTCCAGTGTTCCTGACATCAGAGCTGGGCTGGAATGTTGCCTGGGTGTGCAGGGAACAAATGTCGTGGTCTGGTGGATGATGGATTTCACAGCAAGAGACCTCTCAGCTTATGAATCTGCACTTTAGAGCTTGAAAAGGCAAAGCCAGGAGAGGAGACAAAGGGAGAAAAAAAAAGCTTCTAAGTGCAGATTTGTCAGGAGAAAAAAACCACCCTGTTGTTATCCTGTGAAAAATAAAGATAAATAACTGAAGTCTCTTTGCTTCAGCTAAAAAAAAATGCTCTGATCGTTTCATTATTGTTATTTTCTCCCTTGTATGAGCTCTGCCTGCTCCTGGCTATTTACTGTATGCAGGGAGAATAATAATAATAGTAATAATAATGATAACAACAACAACACAACAGTGATAGCAACAACAATAATCATTTTTAAAAATCATGTGCTTTCCTCAGCAGGGTCAGAGTTCAGTGAAGGGGTTTTTTTTCTCAGGGGTTCTGTGGTTATTTTGTTTTGCTTTCTGTCTCAGTGGTTTAAATGACGGGTTGGCAGTCAGAGCTTAATTTGAGAAGGGAATCCAGAGGCAGCTGTCAGTCTGTGGTGATGGGAAGAATGAAATCCCTTAAAGTGTAATAATAATGATGATCATAACGTGTAATAATAATAGTAATAACAGTGATAATAATAACGAGGGTAATAATAATAATAAATAAATAAAAACACATCTACTGTATGCAGTGAGACCAGAGCACCCTCATTAGCAGGCTCTGTAAGCAGGTTTAGGACTGAATGTCAATAAAATCACGAATATCCTCTCTCCCAACCATCCACCCTGAGCAGAGAGATCCCACCTGGAAATCCAAGTTCCTCAAGACAGGGATTGTTATTTTGTCCAGGTTTTCTGCGATGCTTGACCCAAGGGGAGCCAGTTCCCTGACAGGGGCTCAATACAGACAATAAATAATAATTATGGCTTGGTGGAATTACAAAGCCCGTGTGGTGCAGGCAGGGAGGGGATGAGTCACAGATTCCCGATGAATCAGTGGGAAGGAGCCGTGGCAGGAACACGGGGGAGGCTGGGGCTGCCTCTGTTGGGCCGACTCTGGGGCTAAATAAAGGGTTCCCATCTTCCCAGGCTGTCAGTCAGGCCCTGTTTGTCTCTGCCTGGAATAAAAGCAGCTGAAACACGAGCCCAAACAGCTCAGTGTGTGCTGGGACAATAAACGGCGGCGTTGGGAGCGGTGGGATTGTTGGGGTGTCCCATGACAGGAGCTGGGCTGGGCTGATCCTTCCAGCTCAGGGTGTTCCTGATTCCATGGCCCTGGGAAAACACCTCCTGGCTGTGTGGGGTGGTGCTGGGGGTGGCAGTGGGGACAGCAGAGGGACAGCAGTGTGGCTCATGCCCCCACCACTCCCTCTCTCCTCAGTGGTCTTCGGGCAGTTCGCCTTCTTCCAAACCGCGCTCAACGACGTCGTGGAGGTCCACGATGGCCCCAACCAGCACTCCAGGCTCCTCAGCTCCCTCTCTGGCTCTCACACAGGTAGGAAGCACGTCCCTGTTGCTGCTGGGAAGAGCAGGTTCAAACCCCAGCCTGACAGTGAACATCTGCTCTGTGTGTCCCACTGCCGTGGCTCTTGCTTGCATCTCCATCTCCTGTTTGCCTTTCTCCCCACCCAGGTGAATCCTTGCCCTTAGCTACCACCAACCAGATCCTCATCAAATTTAGCTCCAAGGGTCAATCCACAGCCAAAGGTTTTCATTTTGTCTACCAAGGTGAGTACAGTCGTGTTCTAGAGGCATCCTCAGGTCGGTCCCGAGATAAGGGTCAAAAATACGGGGATGTCCCAAAGAGTCCTGAGCTGCTTTTGGTGCCTGTGGGTCCTGAACAGGAAATATCCCAAGGGATTAATGTTGTTTCGGGAGCAGTGATCTGGCAGGGCTGTTTGGCTGCTGTAGGTACTTTATATTCAGACCTTTCATCCCCACTCAGGCTCAGCCCTCGCTCGTCCCAGGATTAGTATCAGAACCATCTCCCTGAGTCATGCCCTGAGTTACACGGGGAATTTGGAGATTTATCCCCCGGCAATTTTTCCCAGTGGCATTTTAGAACATTTCTGGGTGTAAGCAGCTGAAATCTTGTCTGGCAGCTCTGAAATCCTCCCTCTCTGCGTGTCACAAGCTTAGGTCTCCTGCTGTCAAACTCTTGCCCCTTGATCCCCTCAGTAACAGCTTGTGTTGCACTGGGAGGGCCCCACTGAGGGATTTTATGGGAGTAAATAGACAGTGATGCACAGAACAGTGGGAAAACAGGAGGGATTTCTCACCCACGTGCTCTCTGGAGTTGTCTGTGGTAACCAAGCTTTTGCTGCAAAGTGGGGACAGACAGCAGAGTGACCTGTGCCTTCCCTGGGGGCGAAGTGAAACATGGCTTGGATTTCAGAGTATCCAGAGATCTGTTCTCTCGAATTTCTGCCTAATTATTGTCAAACAACTGTAGTTCTGACTGTGATCTTCAAAGAGTTCAGCAAAGCAGAGGTTCTGATGAAACTCTCCGAGGGACAGGGAGGGATTGTTGGGGTGTCTGTGCAGGGCCAGGGGTTGGACTGGATGGTCCTTGTGTTCCCTCCCCACTCAGGATATTCCATGATGCTGTTAGTGCTTTCTCTTCTCAATGGTCATGTTTGGCCTCACTTTGGGCTCAGTCTGGACTCAGTTTGGGCTCAGTTTGGGCTCAGTTTGGGCTCAGTTTGGGCTCAGTTTGGGCTCAGTTTGGGCTCAGTTTGGGCTCAGTTTGGGCTCAGTTTGGACTCAGTTTGGACTCAGTTTGGACTCAGTTTGGACTCAGTGTGGGCTCAGTGTGGGCTCAGTGTGGGCTCAGTTTGGGCTCAGCCCCTTCGCACTTTGGGTACAACCAGATTTCCGCGCCGCCTTTAACAGGTCTTTGATTTAACACTCAGTATTTCCAACGTGTGTGCTCTGACCGCGTTTTACCCCTCTCTCTCCTTGCCCCCTGGTCCCTGCCGCCCCCCAGCCGTGCCCAGGACCAGTGCCACGCAGTGCAGCTCCGTGCCAGAGCCGCGCCACGGCCGCCGCCTGGGCAGCGACTTCGCCGTGGGCGCCGTGGTGAGGTTCGAGTGCAGCCCCGGCTATGCCCTGCACGGCTCCCCCACCATCGAGTGCCTCACCATGCCCGGGGCCCTGGCACAGTGGAACGTGTCTGTGCCCACCTGTGTGGGTAGGTGACCTCGGGGGGAGAGGAGACAGAACAGTTCGTCCTCTGCCGTGGGGGGATTTTCGGGCTTGTCCTGGGAAAGGCCGGGGGTTGGACTTTGTGGGTCCCTCCCAGCTCGGGGTGTCCCGTGATTCTATGAAAAAAAAACCAAAACCCTGACATCCACAGCAAAACAAACTGCTGGTGGAACTTGAAAAACCTCTTTCATACCCCTTACAACCTGCCCAGGGAGTTGTGGCTGCCCCATCCCTGCAAGTGTCCAAGGCCAGGTTGGACAGGGCTTGGAGCCACCTGGGCTGGTGGAAGGTGTCCCTGCCCGTGGTGGGGGGTTGGAGTTAGATGGGCTTTGAGGTCCCTCCCAACCCAAACCATTCTGGGATTCTCTGTTACATAAAGAAGCCCAACCTGCCTCTGAGCAAGAGCAGCTGAACCTCAGATTCCAGGGAATGGACCTTTTGATCCAACAGTCGTTGTGAGATCTGGGACAGCACCTGGAATGAATCAGATGTGTCTGAAAGCTGCTTTCACCTCCTCTGGAGAAGAGCAATTCCTGAAGGATCAGTCTCCTGGCTGATGTGTTCCCCACACCTGAGGGCTGGGCACTGCCCTGTCAGAAGCTACGGGAGAGATTTACTCAAAAGGGGTTATTTATACAAATCTTGATTTGGGTTTATTTATACTATCCTTTATTTATTGGGGTTATTTATACTGTCCTTTAATCATGAACCCCTTCTTGCTTTTCTGTCCGTGGATGGGTGTTTGCAAGGTGTTTTCAGCATAAAGCCAATTGCAAATTCCACTTTCAAACAGCGATTTCCTCCTTCCAGTGCCGTGCGGTGGGAATTTGACGGAGCGCAAGGGAACCATCCTGTCCCCGGGGTTCCCCGAGCCCTACCTGAACAGCCTCAACTGTGTGTGGAAGATCACAGTCCCTGAAGGAGCAGGGATCCAGGTACAGTGCCAGAGACAGGAGGAAACAGTGTCTGGTGCTCTTAGAGAGGCCTCGTGTTGTGAATCTTTGCCTCTCCCAGGAAAGAACGTGGAATTCTCTGGGATCAGATATTCACTTACCCTGCGACTGCCAGAGTGGGCAGGGACTGAGCTCTGCTCTGGGTGAGCAGGGACAGCACCCAGGGAACAGCCTGAAGTTGTGTTAGGATGGATCTCAGGGAAAGGTTCTTCCCCCAGAGGGTGGTTGGGCACTGCCCAGGCTCCCCAGGGCAGTGGGCACAGCCCCAAGGCTGCCAGAGCTCCAGGAGGGTTTGGATGATCTCTCAGGGACAGGGTGGGATTGTCGGGGTGTCTGTGCAGGGCCAGGGGTTGGACTGGATGATCCTTGTGGGTCCTTTCCCAATTCTGCTGGAGCTGAAGGGTTTTAAGTAGATCTAAAAAGAGAGCAGACTTTGATTCCTGACTGCTCAATAGACACGAGGTGCTCAGAGACCTGAGAGCTTTAAACTGGTGGTGTTTATTTATGGTTGCTCTGCTTTGGTTTATTTATGACAGCAGAGTCTGGAATTAACAGCCTCAAGCTGGAGGAGGACTGGTTAAATGGGATATTGGGAAGAAATCCTTTACTGTAAGGGGTGGTACCAGGCACAGGTTGCTGTGAGGAAAGGCTGGGAAAATTGGGATTGTTCAGCCTGGACAAGAGAAGGCTTTGGGGTGACCTGATTGTGACCTTCCAGTGCCTGAAGGGAGCTGAGAGACACTCTGAGGGACAGGGTGGGATTGTTGGGGTGTCAGTGCAGGGCCAGGAGCTGGACTTGGATGGTCCTTGTGGGTCCCTCCCAGCTCAGGGTAAGATTCCAATGGATTTTTGCCTCCTGGAGGCACCATGTGTGGGAAACCAGCTGGGGCTGTGTGGCTGTGCTGGGGAATATTTGGGATATTTGGATATTTTGGGTGTAGATCTTTCCAGTGCTGTAATTGTGGGATGCTGGGAGCCCTGGGAGCATGGCTGTGCTGTGTGACTGTACAATCCCAGCCCTGCTGCTCCCTGTCTCCAGGTAAATGAGCTCTCTCTTCAGATCCCTTTTGTGGGTCCTTATCATTCCTCTGCAGGAATGGCCCCGTGAGCAGGAGGATGTGGAGAATTAAACCCAACATCAGAGACCAAAGCTGAGACAAAGGCCCCCCTGAGGTTTCCTCCCTGAGCCTGGCACAGGTGACACACAGGAGGTGGATTCTTGGCCAGGTCCATTCATCCCACATCTCCTTATCTGAGGGTTTCTTCCCTCCTCTTTGCACCACTTCACGGGGTGTTTTGTTCATTAAGTGCTTTTGTTTCTCTGCCCTGTGTTTGCTGATGGGTTTGCAGCTCCCAGCTCTTGGCACAGGGTTTATTGGAACAGCAGCTCAGCTCTCCCAGGCTGGAGGTTTTTTACCTGGGAATTGTGACCTGGTGCCACCACATCACAACCCAGAACCACACCTGAGCTTGGCTCTGGGATGGGCAGAGCTGGGGGGGAGCAGCACTGGGGGCATCACAGAGAAACAGCACCAGCCTGGGGTGATCTTTTGAACCCTCTGCCAGGCTTTTGCTGTGCCCAGTCCAGCAAATTCTGGGATTTTAGCCATTTTTTAACCTGCCACAAATGCCAGGAGGATCCATTTAGCCCAGCCAAACTTTTCACGAGTTGAGACAGTGTGCAGGTTGCTGGAGACTCCTGGGGTGGGGAGGTGATAACTCAGCTAATTTTTAAAGCTTTGTAAATACCTGTCTGTGTTCTGCACCCCCATGTTTGGAGGGTGAGCCCTCAGTGCCCCTTCCAGCCCCTTGGAGCTGTTCTTGCCCATCAGCTGAGCCCAGAGGGAAGCAGGAATTGCAGCAGGATGTTAAGCCTGGCTTTATTCATAAGACATTTGGGTTTTTCTCACCTCTTGGGTTGTGCAGACACAGCTCTCATGTAAAACTGGGAAATGGAATGGCTTAATGGTTTAAAAGTTTGGGGGTTTTGGTTTTTTGGGGTTTCTTGGGGGTTGTTTTTTTATTTTTCATTGTTTTATTTTTTTACCCCTTTCCTGCTGGGTGGGATTTTTTTGCAGGGGATATTTTGGGGTCTGACACAGAATGCAGGCAAACAAAAAAAATGTGTGTTTTGTGGTTGTGCTCTGCCAGTGCCAAGCTGGAAGTCCAGCTGGCAGGTCTGGGGTTGGAGGGTTTTGGTGGAGAGCAGGACCCTGCTCCTTCAGTGTGACCCCCTTCCCCTGGGACAGCTTGAAAGAGGGGAAGTTTAGATGAGATATTAGGAAGAAATCTTTTACTGGGAGGGTCGTGAGACACTGGAGACACCTAAGGAAGGTGATGGTCACAGAGCTGGACCCACCACAGAACCTGCCCCCTTCCCTGGTCCCTTAGTTTGTTTATTAGATGCTAATTTAAGCATCGGTTTACCCTGGTTTTTTGCAACAATTAAAGGTTAAACAACTGTAAATCAGGGGAGGAGGTGAAATTAAAGCTTTCTTGGTAGCAGGACTCACTTGCAGGATTTTTATGTAATCAGGGTACTTCTGGCATGAATTATTCATCCCCATAGCAAACCTTCCTGAGTGAATTAATTTATATACATGGCAGTAAATAGATGCAGATCCCTTGTGAATCCACATGTCAGACTAGAATTAGGACCTTAAAAATGTTTATTCCGTTAAGTTGGGGGTTGGGGGGGGGATGGAGAGGAGAATAAATAATTTAGGAAATGTAAGAGCAAACAAAATGCTCCTTCTCAATCCACTCTCAATAATGGAAATCACAATAGGGGTGTAATGAGGCAGGAGGGGAGGGATTGGCTTGGTCAGTGTGAGCAGTGATGGCTCTGTGGGGGTCACTGCAATTCCTGCCAGATGAACTCCACTTACTTTCTGCTAAAAAAATTCCTTTGGAGGAACTTTAGAGCCTGTTCTATTGTGGAGAAGAAATCAAGGAGGAAGAAAGGTTAAAGTGGCCGAAATAATGGGGTTTGATTTGATTTTTTTATTATTTAAATGGGCGTGTTGCATTTGCTGTTTAGAGGAGCAGAGGCAAGTGGGGGTTTGGGGTGGATGGAATAAGACTGGGGTGGGGGGGGAAAGGGAGTTTTTTCCATGGAAAAACCATGGAATAAGACTGTGGGGAAACAGGGAGGGGGTTCCCAGGGTTGTGTCCCACATGTGTGGAGCTGAGGTTTGAGGGCACTGAGCTCCCCTCCCTGCTCTGTGCTGCCAGGATCCAGCTGAATTCCATTGGGATTGGTAGGAATTCTTCATCCAGAGAGATCTGAAAGAGCTGAGGCTCTGCAGAAGAGGGAAATCTCACCCAAATTACCAAAGTTCCAGCGTCCTCCTTGTCTGCAGCCGAGTTGTACAAGTCATTTATGCTCCTGATTTGTCTTCTTTTAGGGTTTTGGTCTCCCAGTTTGATTTGAGGTGCCCAGTGTTTGAAAATTTCATCAAGAGCTCGCAGATTAAAGCTGGTTTCTCCCAAACACCTTTGGCTTCCTCTCAGCTCTGCTGCCTCACTCTCTCAGCCAGTTCACCAAACTTGATTTTGTGTTTTTAGTGGGACACTGAATGCTTTGAACCCCCCTGTATTTAAGGAATAAAGACAAAATCCCTTTTAATGGTAATCGTGGCAGGCAAATCCGTGCCATTACACGGAGCTCTTTGCCCCGGGGATGAGCTGCTTTTGGGTGTAAATGCAGATTTCTCAGCTCGTTTGAGGATCGTGTTGATGTTCTCACTAATGGAGTCAAGTGACTTCCTAAAGCCTCCAAACCTTATGGGCCGTGGCAGGGAAAGGTGAAATTTGAAAATGCAGCTCGAGTGATTCAACTAAAAGCTGAGAGAAACGAGGCAAAGGCAGAAACTTGATTGGATTTTTTAAAAAAAAAAATCCCGTTGTTTAATGTGGGTTTTTTTTTTGTTTGTTTCCTTTTAGCTCGTGGGTTGCTGGTGGTTGCTTTGGTTTGAAAGGGTTGAAAGTCTTCAGGGATTTCTCAAAACAAGGGGGGGAAAAAAGGCTGGGATTCTCAGCTGCTGTAAATGAGCTGTGCAGTTGCAGGAGCTCTCTCTTTGTAGGAGCAGCAGAAAACAGCACTCCTGACACAGAGTCTGGAGTTGGAGGGAAAAAATAGCTGGATAAGCCCAGATAAGGCAGGAGGCCTCCAAGTTAAATAGGATAAATAAGGGTGTGTGGCAACTTGATTAGTGACCCTTTAACCGAGATTAATTTAATTTATTACCATTAGTGCAGGAACTGGCCTGTTATTTTTTTTATTTTTTTTTTTGCCTTTTCTTTCCCTGCAGATCCAGGTGATCAGTTTTGTCACTGAGCAGAACTGGGATTCCCTGGAAGTGTTTGATGGAGGGGATAACACGGCCACCATGCTGGGGAGTTTCTCTGGTACGTGCTCAGCACCCCCCTGGGTCCAGCCCAACATTTCACCTCATAAAACTCAGCTTGGGCTTGAAGTGCTTCAGAAACCCAGCACAGATTTAAGCCTGGGCCTGTTGGGTTGGGAACTGGAGCTGTCTTCCCGTGGGAAACACTGACAGGGAGCCTCCAACACAATCCCAGTGGGGTTTGTTCCACAGCCCGGGACTGGGAATTCCCACAGCGCTGGTGGGTTGTGTGGGGTGAGCTCAGACACCTCACCTGCACCAAAAGGTGTGAAGGGCTACAAAACAACTCTATTTTTTTGCTTCTCCGTGGGGAACTGTGGCTTTTGGCAGAGCAGAGAGGAGCCAGAGCTTTGGGAAGCTTTCAGATGCAGAACAACGACCCCAGTTCTTGCTGGTTTGAGACCCAAAAGTGCTCCAGGTGCTTTGGGGTGGGGAGGAGAAGGGAGTCTGGGATAGAGCTTCCAGGGGATGAGGCAGGAGAAGGAGTGTGGACTTCCCTGAGCTCCTCCCACGCTGTTCCTCATCCCCCCTTCCCTTCTTGATGCTTTTTGTCTGCCCCGTGGTGAGACTTCACAGGCCAAAATTCAGCAGCTGATGTTGGAAAGGCCATTGCAGAGGGGCCCTGGGTATTCCTCACTTGGCCTCATTAGAACCTGATCAAAACCAGGGGAGCTTGTTAAGTTTAAAGGACTTTTCTGTTCTCAGCTTCTCCTGCCTCAAATCTCCGAGGACACGGAGGAGGAGGAGGAGACAGATCCTCTTCACTGTCTTTGTGCCCCTCTTGTTTTCCCAGGGACTACAGTGCCTGCTCTGCTCAACAGCACTTCAAACCAGCTCTATCTGCATTTCTACTCGGATATCAGTGTCTCTGCTGCCGGCTTCCACCTGGAATACAAAAGTAAGAGCAGCTCAGCCTTGATCTCTCAGTTCCTGTGAGTGCTGGGGAGACAATTACGGAGCTGCTGCCGCCACCTCCAAGCTGGGGAAGGGGCTGCTGGGGCTCCCCTGCTCTCCAGCTGCGGGGAGGGGGGTGTTAAACAGAGAACAGATGCAGCAGAGGAGATGTGGGGTCACAGGCTGACCCTGATGCTCTTGGTAGCCCTGTTTGTTGCTGTGTTGGAGCACAGGAGGAGGAGATGTGGAGGTAGAAGTATTAAAAATTCATGGAGAGTTGGTGTGTCCAGCACAGGGCTGTGATCTTTGCTTGGGAGGTGCCTGAAAAGCCAGAGGCTGGGAATGCCTGCCTGCTCTTTGCATTCAGTGTTGGTCACTGCTGGAAAGAACATGCAGGGCTGGACCTGTCCTCTCCCGAAAATCCTGGGTGGGAGGGCCCTCAGAGGTCATCTCATGGCACCTCCCACAGAGAACAGGGTCAGAGAGGAGATAAAACCAAATAACTTGGCTTTGCACATCTTCCTGCAGCCTGTGCTTGGGCAGACTGCAGGGCTGGAGCTGCACAGACACTCTGGGCAGCCTTTCCTCTCAGGGTGGGTGCTGAGCCCTCTGCTGAACCACCTCAGCAATGTTTGTCCTGTGCTGGGGGTGCAAAACAGGGCACAGTATTTTGTATTTTAGGTCCTCAGTGCTAAGGGAACAAACCTGCCTGAAGCTGGAAGACGTGGCAGGGCAGGGAAGTCTCTTGGGAATGAGCTGTCGGGTTTGGGGGGGATTGCCAAAAATTCCTTCTCCCCCCCGTGTGTGTGTTTTGATTCCTGCCATGGGAGCAGATGTCTGCTCAGGAAAGGTGTGTCCTGTCTTCCAGCCAAGCTGCAGTGGGTCACTGTGCTGGGGGCTGTGACCTCAGGCTGTTATTCCCTGTTCCAGCAGGGAATGTTGTTTGGACAACATCAGGCGCACGGTGGGATTTTTGGGGTGTCCTGTGCAGAGCCAGGAGTTGGCTGGATGATCTTTGTGGGTCCCTTGGAGCTCAGGCTGCTCTGGGGTTGTCTCCAGGGAGGGTTTGAATTGCTGCCATCCAGGCAGGGCAGGGCAGGGCAGCTCCCAGCACATCCACGGGGATGTTCAGCAGGCAGGAGAATGAGCAGTGCCAGAGATCCCTGTGGGACAGGGCTGGGAGCCAGGCTGGGGCTCCTGCAGCTCCCAGGGGCTGCTCTGCCCGTGTCCCTGGTGTCCCTGGTGTCCCTGGTGTCCCTGGTGTCCCTGGTGTCCCTGGTGCTGCTGAGGGCCCTGTGGGCACTGCTGTGTCTGTGCTCCCAATCTTCCCCGGGGCAATGCAAGCAGAGCTGGCTCTTGCTGGACACTTTGTCTGGTAATTGGTTCTGAAGCACAAATCTTGTCTCTCAAGCCAGCCAATGTTCTGTTGGTGGGGTGTTTTGTTGCTGTTGCTTTGTTGTTGGTTTTTTGTTGGTTTTTTTTTCTTCCTAAAGCAACAAATAGGTTTGAAAGCTCATTTCGTCTTGTAAAGCATCCACAGAAATCCTGCCCCATCCCTGGAAGTCTTTACAGCCAGGTTGGAGCACGCTGGGCTAGTGGAAGGTGTCCCTGCCCGTGGCAGGGGGTGGAATGGGATGAGCTTTAAGGTCCCTCCCAACCCAAACCAGTGTGGGATGCTGTGAATGTCACAGCTGAGCCTGTGCTTTAGAGGCCAGACCCTTCCAGCTTTTACAGGCTTTGCAGATTGAAACCTTGTCAATTATTGAACCCAGCAAGATTACAGCAACCAGCAAGGCTGGGGACTGGGAGCTGCACAAATGGATGTTGGGTCAGACATTCCCTCGTTCCCTCTCCATCTCCCTTCCAATCAATAAGTTCTCTGAGCACCGAATTCCCCCACTGCAACAATCCTGGGCAGGTGTTTTCATCAGGCTGGGGGATTATCAGGCTTGCTCGTTTCCTTTGCTGAGGAAATGAATAGGTGTTGATTTTTGGGGCAGCTGGAAATGCCGGGGTTTTCTTGGCTTTGCTTGTGCAACCGGAATTTCAGAGCCCCCCCAGCCCCAGGTTTTGCCTCTGCAAGGAAGTTTGGAGAGATGAGCTAAAACACCAGAGTTTTCCTCCCTTTTCTCCCTCACTGGGTTGCTGGAGCAAAGCTCTTATCTCCACATGCTCCACAAGCCAGAGCAGAGCAAGAACAATTTAGGGCTGAGTGGAACTCGGTGCCCACTGATCTGAACGGGAAGTTATTTAAAGCCATTTTCTCTCTCCTGCCTCTCTGAAGGTCAAGCAGTACATCCATGTGCGGGGAGGGAACACATGTTTCCTTGCTGGGAAGCATGACTGGGCTTTCAGGAGGAGACTCAGCCTCTCTCCCTCTCTCCTTTCTCTTTTATTTCCCCTCTGCTGTGGCTCGGTGGGGTTGAAGCAGAGCATCAGCCCTTGCAGTGATGCAGAAGGTTATCTTGTAGTGGCAGCTGCCAGCACAGAGAGCGAGGGAGGTGCTGGAAGCGGGTGTGAGGTGCCTTCAGGCTTCATTTTATCTCCCTTTGGTGTTTGGGAGGGAAGGGGAGATGAGGGAAGGAGAGACGTGTAAAGGAGAGCTCAGGGGCTGTTAATTGGGTTTGCAGCAGGATATTCCCAGTTGTAAATGTAGCTGGGATGGAAGTGGGACTGAATGAAATCTCGTAGGCTGTTCTGCAGGCACCAGCAAGGACCAGCCCTGCTTGTGGCTCCTGGTAAATTCAGGCTGTGATGGGAAACAGGAGGGAAAGGGGTCAGAGATTGGAACCGTGCGGCTTCTGCCCAGAAAGGGGCAAATGACAACATGTTCCGTGTGCCCCGATCTCCTGCATCCTCTCCCATCCCTCTCAGGTGCTGCCTGGCTGGCAGAGGCACACACAGTTCCAAGTGTGGGGTGGGAGGGTCGTGGTGGGTGTTTGGTTTCAGGTTGTCCCAGGTCCAGCTCCTCCATCACCGGGGTTCACTCGGGATGGGTTTGGCCACGAATCACCAAGGGATTGGTGATACATTTGTGCAGGAAAAGAAATGTGTGTTCCAGGGAATGAATACCTGTGGATCCTGGACGTGCCCTGTGACATGGGAATGCTGCACAGCCAGGGCTGTCCATGGAGAATCCAAAGGCCACGGGATTTTGGGGAGAATCCAAAACCCCCCCGCCGGTGGTGGTTGGTAACCAGGGGAATGGGGTGAAATGGAGACGTGTGTTCCCATTGCTCCTGCCTCCAGCACAGATGCCATCCCTGCTCCCAGGAGCACTCATCCCTCTTCCCTCCACAGCCGTGGGTCTGTCCAGCTGCCCGGAGCCCCCCGTTCCTGGGAATGGCCTGAAGATCGGGGAGCGCTACTTGGTGAACGACGTCGTGTCCTTCCAGTGCGAGCCGGGCTACGCCCTGCAGGTATGGACAGTGCCCAGCCACAGGGTGCCAACAAACACCTGGAACGGTGGGAGATCCAACCCTGTGTCTTGTTTTCCTCCCCTGCAGGGTCACTCCCACATTTCCTGCATGCCGGGCACCGTCCGCCGCTGGAATTACCCTCCGCCGCTCTGCATCGGTAGGGCTCCTGTCCTCTCTGCCTGACACATATTTATAGCACTTCCCTAGAAAAAAATACAAGTTAAAGGGCTGATTTAGAGAAATTCAGGTTTGTTCTGAGTGTGGAAAAATCCTCATTTGTTGCCAGGGAAATTGCAACCCAGAAGTCCCCGGGGGCTGCCCGGAGTGCTTTATTTTGAATGTTTAAAATGTGGCCGTAGTAGAAGATGGGAAATAACAAAACAATCTTCCTCAACACACAAAACTGTTCAAAAGGGGAAACCTAAAATTCCTTTGCGCTGAAAGCAGGTTGGTTTTCACGGGTTGAGGATTTTTTTTTTTCCATCTGAAGACCGTGGTCTGTTTTTTATGAAATGAGTCTTGATGCCACTAAAGCTGCTTCTTTCACTGGAGCCTGTTCTCTCCCAGTATCCCAACTGCACCTCGGGTGCCTTGTTCCCACCCTGGAGTCCAGCAGGTCCTGTGGGACCATTTGTGACCACAGGTCACTTGTCAAGGTGGGTGTTTGCCCCGACACTGCTGATTGTTCAGAAGAGAAAAGGGCTGGGCAGTCCCTTTCCACCATGGAAAAGTGATCCCAAAGAGAAGAGGGACAGAGGTGCAGGGAACTTGCTGGAGCTTTTTTGATTATTTTCAGTCTTTTGCTTTTAGCAAATCTAGATGTTTAATATTCATGTTGCACATTTTGCAGCTCTGAGAGAGACATTTATGCATTTAATAGCTTTAGTTAACAGTTATTTCAGGCTCCTGCTGTTCTAGCTTACATCATTTTGCTTTAAAGTAATTATAAGAGCTAACAGTTCTTTTATCTGATGATCTGCAGGCCAGGAATAAATAGAGAGACATTTACAGGAGAATGACTGAGCTAAAGGACCCACACCCTTGGGAGCTGCTCTGAAAGAAATCAGAAGCCCTTCGGCTCAGCTCTAGAGCTGGGAGATCCCAGCATGGAGGAGGATCCCAATATTCCCATCTGGCTGAGGAACTACAAGTTTTCTTCTCTTAATCAGCACCAGTCCCTCAGTTCAGCAGGAATTTTTGCCTGCTTGGGCTGTGCCTCCAAGGCACTGTCGGGGTGTGAACACCAGCCTGGTTGAGTTTGGGGGTCTGTGTGCCAGCCAGTGGTGCAAACACCCCCCCAGCCTGTCTGTTCCCATCCCTCAGCTGCCTCCCACTCTGCTGGAAAAGGTCACCCAGCTCCAGAGAGGCACAAACACTCCTGCAGCCGAGTGTGGGTCATCCAGGGACCTGGATAGGTTGGAGAGTTGGGCTGATTCCAACGGGATGAGGTTCAACCAGGCCAAGGGCCGGGTCCTGCACTTTGGCCACAACAACCCCTGGGGACAGAGGGGCTGGAGAGCAGCCAGGCAGGAAGGGACCTGGGAGTGGGGATGGACAGGAGGCTGAACAGGAGCCAGAGTGTA